AGTTGCACTGTGCGCCTGCGATCGAAGGTTCTCCGGTTCCTTGGAACATCCAAACCACAAGCGACAAAATGAAAATGATGACCAATACATACTCCCAAGATAAATCAAGTGTTGGTTTTACAACCATCGAAATATTGCAACGATACTAATCGTGTGTAATGCGACCCCCGAGATCAGGTTTCAGCAACATGGACACAACATACTCAACAGTTAAGAGCAGTACTCTGCTCCCAAAGTGCGTTGCGTGGTTGCTTTATCTCGTTAAAGACAGAGCTTGTTCCACTCGGAATAAGATTTGTATGGCAACATGCTGCTAATGGGTGACGCTGATCAAGCCCAGTATCTTGATATGAAGACTGAAAGACAGCAAGATATTCTATCATGTCATCTCAAAGCTACGTGCTATGGATTGGTCATGCTACATGCACATGTTAGCCACAGGTCGTCCATCGATCCAGTACCAAGTCCGCATTACGCCAAAGATTACAATATACTTCCTCTGCTCCACATTACTGCGACAAAAGGAAAATCGTATTCTTTACCACATTACTGTGACAATATGGATGCTATTGGCCAATTACGAAATTCAATGGTTCGATTTGTCAAAATGACCATGCTCTATAAAAGCAACGACACTGGGCACGATACATTGGACATCAGGAGACCAGCACGTCTCAAGGCCACCTTCTTCATGTGCGGCAACGCATAATCGTTACCCCCGGAGTGCTCGAGGATCAAACACATCACTGCTTGAAAGGTAAGAAACACACTCTCCAGTTTGTCGTACTTCAGTACTTCGAATGCTTCCATGGTGTGCCGGATCACATCATCCACGCAACGACTCATCTTCTTGTACTGAAGGGACTGAATCGAGGAAAAGAAATCCAAGATCATGTACGTTCAGATCAGGACTATTTGGTGGCTGCCGGCGGATCATGAACGTCCAACGATCGGTCGAGACTGATTGCAGTTCGGCATCAGTGACGAATCCATGCGGCGTTGCTTGTCGCGCTGCAGAACAACGCGCTTGTTCGCACTGGGGAAGGTTGCCTTGATTGCTGGTACGACTTTGTTCAGCACGAAATCACGATACACAGGACCATCCACATTGACCAATGACGTCACCATTGTCCCAGCAGGTCGGTTTCTTGAGTTCCGTGTGGCGGGCTGAGAGCGTACACACGGCCACATCCCAATCTTGCCGCTGAAGACTTCTCCGCGCACCTCATCATACCGCGGACGCGCAACGGCAGCCAAGAACATGACCTTTGGCACGAAGCGCTTGCTCATCCACGCGCGCTCAGGCGGTGCTTCTCTGGGAACGAGGTACACCTTGCGTCGATCTTTGTCAGCGATAAACCATTTCTCATCCAAGTGCACGACGTCCCATAGATTGTAGAATTCAACGGTTTCGGGGAAACCGGCTTCGTCGGCGCTGCCGACGCCGACGATGTTCGCGAGCCCCAGCAAAAACTGGCGCGTTCTGCCTTGTTGACGTGCGAGAGCAACGGTTTGATACGGGACGAACGTCGGACGAACGTCTTTTTCTTAAGGTGTCTACTGAGGGTACCCATGGATAGGCCAGTGGCAGCGACGATGCACGGAGGGTTGAGCGTTGATCGACAGGTACGTCTTGGACAAGTTGTCGTACGTATTGGTCAGTACTTTGCCTTTAGCCCAACTCTCCCGAATTTGTTTGACAACGTGCTCCCTCTGATGACATACGCGCGCCATACAGCAGAGACGGTGCGGGGTTAGAGGTTGAGTTGCTCGCCAACGAGTTTGAATGCTGTACGCTGGAGCTTGCCCTTGTTGAGGAAGGTTTGAAGAGCTTGGACTATCGTTGCCTTAACGTGACGTGTAAGTTCACAATGGGATGTTCAATGTGATTTTCCATGGTGGCAAATTCAAAAATGATGTACATTTGAGTATGTGGTGTATTTTTATTTGGATGGTCCAGAATTGATGTCGATTTTGCTCGCGAAGTTGTTGTTTAGGCGCATGGTGGCCAATTTATGACACCTTCAGTATTTAATTAGCTTAAAAAATGATATCCTGCAACGAAAACGGATTTCAACTGAATTTTGGGGGACCTTGACAAGTCATAATGCATAAGTATTGTGGAGCAGAGGAAGTACTCGTTTTGAATCTCGATAAAACTGCGCATGATCAACATATCACATTTTTGCTCTTTGCTCACACGTTGCAATGCAGTTTTCCGTGGGTTGTTAGCACTCATTCATTATCAAACAACTGCGTGGAAACGAATCTATCGTTGTGAACATCAGTGGCTGCAACTGTTCCTAAAGAATTGTTGGTCCTCACTTCCGAGTCCCCGACGTGGCAAGTGGATCGCTAGTGACACTCACATTCATTCAAGGGAATGGTTAAAGTGAATGAGGGTACTGACTGACTTGACCTCTCCTACGTCGCTTGAATACCGCACGGCTAATATACGACTCGCGGATGTTCGAACACCGAACTGCCAGTGGATCAAGATTCCACGGGAAAGCAGCCAATAATCCGTACCTAGGACTCATGTATGACTGATTCTTTCCTCGTACCCTGAGTATGCATCACTTCAAGTTGCCACATTCAACTCGATCTAAGTTGTTCCTTGGCATCAGCGTGTCAACATTGTGCGACGGCAGTACCCCACGATTACCTTGGTACCCTGTCGAGTGATCCCGCATCTCGATTACGACAGCACATAGCAATCAATCCAAGCGTTG